AGGGTACTCGTAAATCAAAAAAAAGTTGCTGACATTGTGTTCAATAGATTTTAACTCAATGTTTTATTACGTCTTGTAGGTATAATGATATTAATATAAATATTGTTTTACTTTAGTTATTGAAACATCCTTTTTTTATATTATTATTGTTATTTTTCTTTGGTAAAAAAGAAAAAAAAGTGGCGAATATGTCCATTTCTTGAGCAAAGAGAAAATTTTTCAAGAGAGAAAAAAAATATCTTCTGTAAGATACAATAAATTTTGAATGTTAAAACAAATGTTAAAACTATATGTATATGGTGTTAAGGAAAAAACCAAAGTTTACGTTACAAGTGAAAAAAATCAATAGATCAAATTTATAAAATTTTTCCAATTGATTTGATTTACTACTTTAAATAATAAAACGTGTTTCTAACATTTTTTAAAACTTTGTCTATTTTCGACCGATACTAAAAGACAAGTAAACGAACAATAAGATAAGATTCAGGTAATTTTGAAATTTTTTAAATTTTGAGAGATATAACGTTTTGTTCCGTTAAAAATGTACGTCAATTTGTTTATTGAAAAATAAATTTTGTTTATTGAACTCTAAAGCTATAGAGATAAATTTCATTACAAAAGCGTCGTTAATTATCATCGCTAAGCGATAGTACTATCTGAGCATGATTACTAATGTAAAATTATGACTCTGTTGAGTAACTTAGGAAAATTGTTCTGTCGTCTTTTCCGGCAGAAATAAGAAATAGCTAATGTTTAATGACTGTTTACAACTATATGATCAATTTTTCATAATTTTGAGCCAAGAGATTAAACAATTTCGGATACAGGGTTTTAATGAACAAGCCTATCTAGTTAGCTTACTTATTGGATTGTTATATAATATTAGTAGTGAGATGAATGAAATTAACATGTGTTTTTACACTAACGAGCTTTTTTAACATTGTTGAATTGAAATTGATGCTTTCAGCGGTTAACATTATGAAAGCATAAATTTATTAGAATTGTTCGTACAAAGTTACGAGCACAGTATATAGGATAGGCACCAAAATATCGAGATTCAAAATCTATCGAATAAGGTATCGACTCCTCATAAAATATCGATCACAGTTCATGTATCGACAATAGTGAAATCGATTATTACGGATTCCTACATTTCCTACTTTGACATCGTCAAAAAAAAAAACGCTGTTGGAACTTTGGTAGGGGGTAGGGGGAGAAGAGAAGAGAGCTGTCTTTTCTTTCCGCGGTACGTTTCCTTCGAAGCGGTAGGTTATCTTCCACAATTAATCCTTGAATTTTTAAAGAATCGCAAAAAATCGTACGTCAGTATAACTTTCTACTCCCAAACAAAAAATTCGTCTTTTTACTTTTGAATCTATTTTTTTTCTTATCATATAATGTAACAATGTTATTGTTGTTCGAAGCAGAGGTTAGGATGTCGGGATCCGTGATATCAACAGCATGGACTTTTGCGACTGCTGAAGTGTTTTAACTGTTTTCTTTGTTTTTGTCACAGTAAACGTCACTAACAATGGCAATCCGACCAGTGTACAGGCCTAAAATCGTCAAAAAGAGGACGAAGAAATTCATTAGGCACCAGAGCGATCGATATGACAAACTTAAGGTGAGATAAGTGATACTTGTTGGTGATTAAATTTAATTTTCACCAGTTTATTCAATGTGCGATTTGCACTGGTTCAAGCTTATTCATTGTCATTATTGTGTGCATTTCACAGCGCAACTGGAGGAAGCCCAAGGGTATTGACAACAGAGTCCGCAGGCGTTTCAAGGGCCAGTATTTGATGCCCAATGTTGGTTACGGAAGCAACAAAAAGACCCGTCACATGCTCCCTACCGGATTCCGCAAAGTCCTTGTTCACAACGTTAAGGTGGGCTTTTTATCATACTGAAGTTTTTAACAACTTAGGATTGCTCGTGTAAACAATCAAATTCACATGTGTTGGGCTGATTTGTGTGTTAAGTGATATTGGTGAAAATAGAACAGTGTTGCAGTATTACATTTGTTTATATTTAACGAAATTCACTGTCTAGTCTTGAATGCTCAATTTTTTTGTGTTATGTCAATGGGCTCATTTTCTACGTGTAGTATAGAAGATTTCCAAATTTATCTTGTAAATGTTATATGGAAGCTGTGGTAGTGTGTTTTAAAGAAAAAAACTAGAGATAATCATAGCTAATTTGAATTTTTTTACAACTTCAAAACTGATAATCAAAGACCATTACAGAAATGCCAGTGATTTTCTCAGGTTTTAGTGATTTGTTAGACAGTCTAATATATTCTATGATGAAACTTCAACATTAATTAAAATAGATATAGTAAAGTATATACTTCTCTAAGGGTTTTTCTATGATATATTACTCTTGCGTAATTTACATTTCACAACGTAACATATTTGAAGGTACCATCAATAAAAGGTGACAAAAAGTTGTTGAAAGTTTAGTTAAATCATTCATGATACTCGACAAAGTTTGCATAAAATACATATGTTTTAGGCTTTTAAGGTACAGTAAACAAAAATAACGTATAAATTTTTTTTTTTTCAATTTTTTGTAGGAATTGGAAGTCCTGATGATGCAGAACCGCAAATTTTGCGCAGAAATTGCTCATGCAGTCAGCAGCAAGAAGCGCAAATCGATAGTCGAGCGTGCTCAGCAGTTGTCTATTCGCATAACGAACGCCAATGCTCGCCTGCGTTCTGAGGAGAACGAATAAACTATTGTAAATTTTTTAAAATATAACTTTAAAATTTATATTACTCTATTTTATTTTATATATTGCCATCTACATCTCCCATACTGTCCTTTGTGAAGTATAAAAACTTACAATTAGGACAAGACGCATTCAAAATAATTGTATTTGTTTCATTTCTCTCTTATGCTACGTCTAATTTGGTTGAATGTAACATTTTAATTGTTAACATTACAAAATTAATTTTGTGTTATGCACATTTGTATGCAATGAATTTTTGTTAAATATTAATTAGTTGACATACGTGGTGTACTGTTAACGTTATTATTCATGACAAATGCAGTTCAAGTTTTTTACTTGTGTGTAAATTGGCATGAATTTGGATAAATACCCCATGAGTACGTGCATATACCAATAAAGACGGTTTTGATGGTAAGTCTGGTGGTACTCATCACTAAATTCAATACAAGTGAGTGGATTATTTAGATGTCGGCTGAAATTAGCTCAAATTAATTGCCCTGCAAAGAAGCATGCCTGTGGACAGGAAGCAGTATATACTTTTTGCTTGCAATTCAGATCGAAGCAACTCTTTTCTATTATAATATAAAGTATTATAATATAAAATCGTTTTCTGTACATTACCGGCCTAGGGGCATAATTCACTGTAAAACCATAACAATTAATTACAACTGAACGATTCATAGATAGACCTAGAAAATTAAACAAATAACACTATCATGCATGCATTAAAGGTACAATGTAATGTCAAATGTCAATTAACTTGAATTGTTATAAAATACTTTTTTTTTTTAATTCGTATATCATAGTAGGGTAAAATGTTGAACTTTTATTTTTATTTTATTCCAACCGACTATGAATTGACTTCAATAATTTTTGAGTTCAACAACAAGAATATTTTTTATTTTTAATGTTTTCTTTAAACAAAATGATGAGCCCTACACTTAAGTGATTATAATAACATTTTCACGACAGAAAGTAAAATTATAAGAATGTATATTAGACAGTACAAGTATAAATTGTTGAAATTCGATCGTATTGAACTTCGTTTATTAAAATCTAATGGTATAATAATTTCCCTGGAGATACAGAAAGAGTAATAAATATTTAATGTTAAAAGTTACCGAATTATTAGTGGTGAAAAAAAGTGGCAAATTCAAGAGGAAAGTCAAGTGATTTACCTGTTACCTATAAATCTAATTTTTATTTATAAATTTTTTTCTTTTTTTAATCGACAAAATTTACGGGGTCGATTTGATTTTATCCATGAGATTCGACTCAAGTCGATTCAAAATGAATCGACTGTACTCCTTTATTATTGCCATAGCTCAGAGTGCGTGTACATATATAAATGTATATAGTCATAGATAGGTATTTGCAACATAGCGCAAATTGTGACGCGTTGATTTCGGCATTGGTGTTTGTCGGGATCCAGATTGTTGAATTATTTCGACTTTTTTCATCCAAATGTCTGTCGTTGAGTAGTGATACCGAACAACCGACAAATAAAACACCCCCTCGTCCGAGGTATATCAACAGTCGCCGAGTAATGGAAGACGAAACGGAGCAACCCAAATCAGGAGAGACAACAGGTTCATATTTTTTTTCTTTTATTGTTTCTATTTAATGCGTTTGTCTATTTTTTCATCCAAATTTTATGGCGTTTTTCTTGTCAATTCTCTCTTAGAAGTCAATCAGGATGAGCTCATCCTTCAGCAACAGAGGCGCATCGAGAAAGAGGTTACTATTGGCTGTATATTTGTTGTTGAGGCTATAAATTTTAGAACCTGGAATTACTATCTCAAGCTTTTATAAAGAGGCTCCGTTGCTTTTTACCGATTTCAAAATACCTACTAGGTTTTGTAATAAAACTGTTTCGATGTTTGTTTAGATTCAAGACAGTATATCTCTGGTTGGGCAAAAGGAGTCCCTGAAAGCTCTGGAAAAAGAATACGAAGGGGACATAGTGTACTTAACAAAGGCCAAGGTCCTAGCTGAGACTTATTCGTATTTCAGAAAGACGAGGCCTGATGGCAACTGTTTCTTCCGAGCTTTTAGCTACGCCTATTTGGAAAAGCTAATCAACAATAAGGAGGAATACAAAAAATTTCACACATATGCGCTAACAAGTAAAGATAAACTGCTTGCGTTAGGTTTTCCCAAGTTTACAGTCGATGATTTTCACGACACGGTAAGCTAGTTTGTTGTACTATTCTCCAACTTGGAATGTTATTTTTATTCCCCTTTTTTGTACAGTTTATGGAAGTTATTGAAAAAGTCGGTACTGCAGAAGATGGCTCTGCAGAGCTTCATAAACTGTTCAACGACCAAGGATTTTCAGATTATGTTGTGGTTTATCTACGGTTAATAACTTCTGGACAGCTACAAAAGGAAAAGGACTTTTATCAGAATTTTATTGAAGGTGGTCGGACTGTCGAAGAATTTTGTCATCAGGTTTGTACTTGTAACTTGCTCTGCAAATAATTAAACTTCATCATTTCAACTGTGCTCAATGTTACTATTTATGACAAACTTTGTATTCTTCTGTATCATTATAATGAATATATGAATCAATAATTAAATCTATTTGTTTTTTTTTCTTTAGGAAACTGAGCCAATGTATAAAGAGTCTGATCACATTCACATTATTGCCATGAGCAGTGCATTAGGTACCTGTATTCGTGTACGATATATGGATAGAACTGCTGGTACTGAAGTAGTAGCACATGATTTTCCTGAAGGATCCATACCAACGGTTCATTTACTGTATCGACCAAATCACTATGATATTTTGTACCCTTGATAATTATGTTGACTGGAATATCTGATTTTTTTTTACTTAACATATAAGTCACAATTGAATATCTGTGAAGTTGCTCTTAATATCGGAGGTTTATCGTCTTTTGTAATGGTTGGATAAATTTTTTTTAATAATTATTTTCGTCGTACATCTTAGCCATTAACTCTATTTTACTAATTTTATAAGAGAATTTGTTGGACTATTGCACTCAAGAGTTAATTATCTTTTTAAGATGTTTAACTCAAAGAACTTGCAATTTGTGATTAATTTTTAATATCCGGTGAATTTAATTGTATAATACTGTTCTTACAACCTACAATTTTTACCAATATATTTTCCCAAACAAAAAATAAAAAAGATTTAGTACTTTATGGACACTTTCTTATTTATTTATTGTGGTACAAATAGATTTACCATGAAAGAGAGCTTGACAAATAGTGTCAAATAATTCAAATGATAAATATACCTCAGTGTTAACATGTTTGAAGAAAATCATCAGCTAACTAGCCTGTATACTGGTGGGGACATTTATGTACCTACCTATTATTAAAAATAAAATTGTTTGAGTTCAACTTTGTCACGTAGACGAGACACGATATCCTATTGAAATTAGAAAAATATCACAACTTGTTTTTTTATTTATGAAATCACTGCAGATGAAAATAAGTTCGATTTTTATTTTTGCACAATTGGGATAATTGTAAACCAAAAAAATTACAAGTAAAAAATCATGGAGTTCTTTTTTAAGTTTTCAAACTATTATTTATGGTCCATACTTAGGAGAATGCAGTACAAGTGAATCAGTGTAATTAGGTTTTTGTAACGAGTAACTAAGATTTTGCAGAAGCCGCTATTTAATAAAATAACTTTAAATAACTTATTGTCACACATACTCACAACAACAATTACTTAGTCACGTTAAGCATTTTGTTTGTAATGGCTTCGATAATAATATAATCGTAAACTGCAAATTCAAAAAGTTAAACAGTTAAAGTTACAGGAAAATCATATTAAGTTGAAGTTGCAGATGTAAGTTTTTCTTGATTTCTCAGAACTTTCACCCTTTGCAAGAAGAAATGAAAAAAAAGAGATTAATTTGGGTTGGAAAAACGCTAAAAATAAAGCAGGACACTGGTTTTTAACAGGAACGTAAAAATAAAAACAAAAAATATGTACGCACCAGCAAGTCATTCACCACGTCCTACTTACCTTACTTACCTGTAGGTACGGATTGGTGAGCTACTACAACGTAGCAAACTATTCAAACCAAATCCGTTTGCGTGGGTGACTGTAGACTTACGTCATGAGCCAGTGTGCACACATCTCTGAACGACTGCTGACAATTTGGTCTATATATACTAACCAGACTCTTTTTTCGCCACGTGCGGGAACGAATCATGCCGCCACGCGGCCGGAGATTCAGTTATACCATCATTTCAGCATTTACAATGCTGGAGTCATGCAGTGTCCATCCGTTGTCGATAACCATCACGTCAGCGTGGCCAAACGGAACACCTGCCTAGCGGCAAATTTTAACGTTCTAAAACCAATCAACGTACAAGTGCTTTGACCCCATGATCCTGTACTCTTAATCCCTTAAACCAAATGACCCGGGGTGTAGGGCTGTAGGGTTTAATTAGCTAATAATTTCATATTTTTATTGAAAATAAAAGTGCTACTTATTACATAAATAGGAAATAACTTGTAAAACATTAGAATGGTATTGGTAGGTTGAAAAAATAATTAGTGATTAAAATAACTCGGTCAGCTTATAAATAAAAATTATTAACAAGTATAATCTTCCACTCCAAATCTCTTGAGCTCCTAACTCTTTACTTTCACTAAGTGATTAAACCCCATAACCCTGTACTCTTGAACACTTAAACAAAATAACCCTGGGTAAGAATTTTAATAATTACAGTTGCTTATCAACTTTAAAAAAGTTACTTATCTTAAGAAAAGGAAAAAAACTTGCACAACATTTTAATGGTTTGCTCTTAAAAAAGATGTTGTTTAGGACCATTCAAAGCAAAACCAATTGAAAAAATTGAAAAAATTGATCAAAATACTCGATTTTCGTTTATTTACTATTTCATATTTGCAATATAAGTGTAATTTTCTTAAAGTTTTTTTATCTTTGCCTTTTACAGTATTTAAAGGTTATTTATTTTGTGCCAAAATTTCGTTAGTAACCCTGTGTAAATGAAAAATCTTTGTTGAAATTATTTTCATAAAATTTTTGAGTCTCGCTTATTAGTTAATTCTTAATCTCCTAAAAGTTTGTTAAATATCTTCTGTACGTGTAGTAGATAGAACTCAATTTGATTTTTTAGCTTGAAAGTACTACTGACGTTGTATTGTACAAGGATAAATAGCCTATAAGTCCAGTGAACTATTTCAGAAAAGTGATCTTAAAATATTATACAAGTCATCCAAACATTAGTTTGACATAATTTGATAGATACATTCTCTTATTAAAAAAAATCGAATTTGTACCAAGGTATTTTCTAGGGTAAAAGCACTTGGAGTAAAAAGCCAGAGGTTATTGATTGGGTCATTTGGTTTAAGAGATTAAGAGTACAGGGTTATGGGGTTTAAGCACTTGGGGTAAAGGTTTAAGGGGCTTAAGAGCTTGAATTAAAGTTGATTGGTTTTAGAACGTTAAAATTTGCCGCTAGGCGGGTGTTCCGTTTGGTCGCACGCGCTTGAGTTGTGTTTTTTTTTTTATCTGTCTGAAATATAAGGTTAGGTACTTTATACAAAAACATGAATACTAAAACCACGCAGTGAATAAAAAAATGTATAAACCATATAGAATATTGAATCATAATAGGAACATGATATAGTATTGTGCTATAATGGCATCAGCTTCAAGCACTAGTGCTCGCAGTTTATTTGTGGAGTCAAAAAATCGTCTAGCAGACAGGATACAAGTGAACATCAACAACATTTCATCCTTGGCCAGACAGATCCAAAGGGGCTCTAAAAGTAACGAGGTAAAAGTTTTTTTGGTAAATTATTTGAATCCCATTATTTATTGAGTTATTATTTTGTTACAGATTTTAATGAATTCTGCCAGAACATTTGCTCAACAAGAACAAGGTTTTGAGAACGCCGAAGTTAATTTAAAAAAATTAGCATTAATCTCAACTCACTTGGAATTTCAATTGAATGCCATCGAAGAATGTTCAGCCAAGTTGGAGGAAGTAACCGAACAAGTGCGAGCAATGCAAAGATGATCACCTGCGAGTCTTGTGATTGTTGTGCATCATTTAAATTGTGTTTCTCTTGAGAGAGATGATGAACAAGTAGCTACACACACAATGAACAATATGTTGTTGCTCTGTACTACATTCATTTGAATGAAATAAGTTTAAGTGATCATATTGTAAACATATCTGATATATTTAAAATAAGCAGTATACATAATGGATACATGCCTATAGATTTTTAGATTAATAGTGTAAATACTCTTGTCATTTGTAAAAAAATATATAAATGCATCTATGTATGTGGNACTCGTCATTAATTTTATTCAGAGGAAAATTCCGTTATGTTTTGTAAGATGCGTTTTAGATTTTTAAGTTAAATGGGGATGAATGTCAAAAATCTTCTTTGGAAGACTTTGTTTATCTTTGCAACAAACAAATTAAACACAATATATGTGTTTGGAGAAAATGTAATTGGATTTTTCAATTTTCGAAAACACGTATGACATTTTTTAAATGATCAATCGATCAAAGCTCAAGTATGAAATTACTAAAAATGTCATAAAATTGTGCAAGTACTGGAAAAGTAAATTTAAACGCGGTTGCTCGCTCTCGGAATATTTAGTTGTTTATGGAAACGACTCATCGGAAATCGAAGTAACAAGCGGCTAAATTTATGAAAAAACTGCGTTTTTGCATGTAAGTCATGACTAATATGAGGAAGTATATTACTGTTATTATCACACTGTATACTTTTTAGTGCAGGGTTGGTAAAAAAATTTGTACACCCCACGGGGTGAAAAAAAGAAAGCCTCAGAACACAATGATTATCGCCCTTAGCTTTGCACTGAGTGTCAATCGTACGTGGATTATTCTACTGAAAATGACACATTTCGAGAGCCGCAATGGACAAACACTTGAAACGGGTTTTTAATTTTTATATACTACATTTTATACCTACGCTATCCGAGTCGTTAATAAGACGCTGCACAAAGATATAATGAGATTCGTTCAAAAAAAAGAGCGTTACGGGTTCGAAGAATCATTTTAAAATCATGATGATACCACTCACAGTGAAAATTTAACTTTATTCTTGTCTTGTACGATGTACTGTGTCCCTAATATCATGTACTATTATACTATTCCATCGATAAGCTAAGATTCGGTGAAGATACAATGGGTTTTGTATCGTTACGGGATAGCGTTACCGGCTTTTAGCAAAAAAAAGAAGCGTTACGGCCTCTTACAAAATCGGTGAAAAATCGAGATTGTAAAGCACAAAACGCAAATTGAGCTTAGCCACTGCACTTATATTGTATAAAAAACAGCTCAATTTCAATCCACCACCTTCCGAGTCGATAACCGAAATCTTAAAAAAGTTACTTAACTTTCCTTAGCGTTACGGGCTCTTAGTTTTTATTTTGGGGAGACACAATATTCAAATTTGCAAGTCTGTAGAACTGACTTAATGAAGAGGAAAAATCGGAGAAAATTCCAGCAACACCCTCAACTTTTGTAGAATACAAAACGCCCTTATTGGAGTACCCATATTGAATTGCGTGCGTTTTTGAGAGTGTTTTCCGTTAAAATTTTAAATTTATAAGATTTCGGTCCCGCAACTTTAACAGCAGCCAACTCTTGGATACCATTTTTTTAGCTGTATAAAATGCGTGAAAATGGTGTTTGCGTTACTAACTTTAAGATCCCATACCGTAGAAAAATTACAAACTCCGTATTTTGATTTCAGGTGTCATCAAAACTGTAAATTTACGAGTGAGACATGAGCCCGTAACGCTAATTTAGCCCTTTTTTGCATCTCAAACCAAAGGAATACTTTTTTATGGTCTGAATTCTGTTGTAAATTTAAAAGTAAACATCCCTTAAATAATTTAAAAAATTTCCAGATCAATATCTCCTCAAACGGCTTTGTAATCGACTGGGACATGTAATATGCCATTTTAAGTAGAATGACCCATGTATTCTGAACAAGCTAGTGTTTTTTTTTGTTTTTTTTTTTTTTTAATTTTGCGATTTTTCGGCATTTTTTGCGATTTAGATATCATTTGATATCATAGTGGTTCGATTCCCGGCCAGTGCGACTTTTTCGGGCAAGTACCTCTGTGATTTTTCACATGTGCTTTTTCACCACGCAATGCTCCTCGAGGAGGGTTTAGGCGACCTTCTNTCCCTTAAATAATTTAAAAAATTTCCAGATCAATATCTCCTCAAACGGCTTTGTAATCGACTGGGACATGTAATATGCCATTTTAAGTAGAATGACCCATGTATTCTGAACAAGCTAGTGTTTTTTTTTGTTTTTTTTTTTTTTTTATTTTCTTTTTTTTCTTTTTTTTTTTTTTTTTTTTGAGATGTATTATTTAGAAAACAAACACAAAATTTATTATGAATTGAATGTATTATCAGTGAATGCATATAAAAATGGAATATTATAGTTTCGAACCAAACGATAAGTACAAGAAACCGAGTTTCTATAGTTGGCAGCGCCCGTAGCAGAGTGGGTAAGGTACTGGACTCATGTGCACGAGGTCAAGGGTTTAAATTTCTTTATTGAAAAGTGTTTTTTTTTGTTTTTTTTTTTTTTTAATTTTGCGATTTTTCGGCATTTTTTGCGATTTAGATATCATTTGATATCATAACTAAGTATGTTAAATACAACAAAAACTTGTGCTTTGACGAGATTTACAACTCTTATCTTTAATTTATTATCTGAGATGCCAAACAAAAAAGTTGGATAGGGAAAAACGATATTTATTCATTTTACGAGTACATTTTGGCTCATAACACGTGCTGGTTACATCCTAGGTCAAAATGTTTTATTAAAAAAAAAACTGTATTTCAATGAGATCTACAACTTTAAATTTAATTTTTCGATCCAAAATATAAAATAAATAAGTTAGACGGGGAGAAACTATATTTTTGCGATCTTTGAGTACTTATTGGCTCATGGAACGTTTGGGTTATATCCTGGACGAAAATGTTAAATACAAAAAAGTTGTTTTTCAATTACATCCACAACTTTGTCTTTCACAGAAAATCTCAAAAATATCACGTAACAAAGTTATAACCGAAAAACTGTTTTTTTTTTTTTGTCACTGAAAGTACCACCTTAAAATGACTGCCACTTTTTTTCTAAAACAGAAAACCTTGCCAGTTTAAAATCATCACGTTAGACATAAAAGACGAAGTTCTCAGTCAACTTTTAGCCCGACCCAACAAAAACTGCATGAGTTAGTCAAAAAACTTGATTACGCCCATACATACATACATACATACATACACCCTCGACTTTTTATATGATGAGTATCTGATCAGTCGTGCCTAAAAGCCAAATTATGTCCACGCATTTAGCAAAAAAAAATTTGTTTACTACTAAATAATTCCAAAGGTAGAAATACAGTCGCATCCACACTACGGCCATCACCTATACGTAAATTCGACTTCTATAATATCCATTTACAAGACTTTTTTGAAGTGAACTTGATATTACATTGGCCCAGGTCTCATTTGTCTATTCGATTTGCCTCAAAGCCATCCGCGCAGTGCCACATAGTAATTTTATAAGTATAGGTTGCTGAAGAAATTTGCAAAGATTATTTAATTTAACGAATTCCGATCTCGTTTTGGTTCTAAATTAATGAGTTTCCTCGGAAGAAGCCATAGAATACCTAAAAATATAAACGCATATAAACGCGGGCAATAGGCTCAATCAGTAAAACTTTTCATATAATCATCAATTGGAAAATAGTCAAAATTACTAAAGTTTTCGGGAGATCAAAGTGATCCCCCAAAGCACTGCTGTCTTCGTCAAACATCACTTTTTCGATGAGCCAACTAAAATTAGTAAAAAAAACTAAAATAAAATAAAAAAAAAAAACTAAACGATGTTCACTCTCAAACCCTGAAGGTTTTTATACATAACAATGCTTTTCTATTGACAAAAGAGATGATTTGAATAGTATGCTAGACAAGGGTTTCCTTTCTAGTGAATAAAATAAGTATTTTTAAATGTATTTAATAATATTGTACAACGATTGTATTTCATAGGATTACAGGCTAAATCAATGGACGAGCTTATTAGATTTAATTCCTAAATAGTTTGCAAAGGATTTTTACTGTCAATTATTTCTGAAATGTAATATGCAATTCATTTGTAGTAAAAATGTAGGGTACTCGTAAATCAAAAAAAAGTTGCTGACATTGTGTTCAATAGATTTTAACTCAATGTTTTATTACGTCTTGTAGGTATAATGATATTAATATAAATATTGTTTTACTTTAGTTATTGAAACATCCTTTTTTTATATTATTATTGTTATTTTTCTTTGGTAAAAAAGAAAAAAAAGTGGCGAATATGTCCATTTCTTGAG